CACATCCAAATATTTGATGAAGTTTTTAAAATGAGTACTAATTTTTTGTTACAATTTTGTTGGGTTCCGTACCAAGTTTTCTAATCTTTTAATTTCATTTATACGGTTCAAACAAATTTCAAAATTCTCTGAAAAAAAATTCTTAAAATTTTCAAAAATATACAAAGTTTTATACTTCAAATATGAATTTTAAAATTTACAATTGAGTATATATTATGCATGTATATATTTTAAATTTCTCATCGTAAGAAATATATCATTAGATGGATTCATTCGGCACTTCTTGTTAATGTAAACATTCTCAAGTGCTTTGAACGATAAGATCGTCACTGTATATTGTATCAACAATAAAATATATAGTGATTAAATTATCTATTTGAAAACGTATAAAAAAAATTTGTTGTAAATCATTGATCAATTTTGTTGATTATTGATTTTTTTCCCCTCGGATATATAATTCTGGTACGTGAAGTTCCAGCAATTAAGGCACGATGCCATACACCACTAGTTCCCAATTTTGGTTCTAAACTATTCAGACGACTTGAAAATTTAGAAAATATTAAAACAAACTAAATTATTAGACTATTTTTTCTATCTAATTATTTCTCCCTACGTTCATGGCCTAAGCTCCGACCCGCCCCTAACGCCTCCGACCCGCCCCCAGTTGATTTCCAAGAGAGCTCCTGAAAAATTCTTTCCTCGCACACATACGATACCTAAAAGTTTTCGCTTCCGGACTTTTCCGCTTCTTCCTGTTCTTCTTGTTTTTCCTGTTTTTTCTGTTTTTCCTGTTTTTCCCGCCTTTTGTTTTATTATGTTAGAGCTCCGAGGTTTTTCCTATTATTGGAGAGAGGCGGTCAACGCGACTGGGCGGCCACGGAAAATAGACGGAGGACAAGGGTAAAGGAATTTTTTAGATAATTGTAATAGATAATTAGATAATTGATAATTTTTCATTATCAAAAATATAACGAATCTACGACAAGTAGTTAAATTTAATTAACTGTTGAAAAAAAAATTGAAGCCGATTTTTATGGAACTTTTTTTGGCGATATATATCATGGTCTTATAGAACTTACTGAAATATTACTGTCTTACGACAAGTAATTTAATTTTAAAAATTCAAAGTTTGAGAAAATGAGTAGTTTTTTTTGACGTTTGTTAAAATTAAAATTAGACGATTTACTTGGTATAACGATAGAGTACTTGGTTCAATTATAAATATTATTGATTTGTGCAAATTTGCTTTTAGAAAATACTCCGAGTTAACGTATTCGTTCGTTCTCAATTATGTGTAATAAATTCACTCGGAATACTTTTAATCACTCATAAATTAATTAATTTTTCAACTTCCCGTAGCGTAGTTATAATAATGGGCCGAAAATCAAAAATGAAAATTTTTGCATTTCTCGACGTTTTAAAGGTTTCTAAACATTTTGGCATACATGGATGTGTGTGTATGTTTTGTATGTCCGCATTTTTTCGTCCACGTTTTCGGGCGCACGGATCAACCGATTTGAATGGTTCAAAAAACATTCGATTCCTATTGATAGAAAGATGTGCTGATTAGTTTTTGGCAAAGGCAGGTCAAGCAATTACGGAGATACGGAGCAAAGACTGCGGAAAATACAAATCGAGTTTTTGAGAGAACGGATCATCCGATTTGTATGATCCACAAACATTCAGTTCATAATGACGGGGAAAAGTGGTTATTAGTTTGTATTTTAGTATTATTAGCAAAGGTAGGCCCAGCGGTTTCGAAGATACAGAGCTAAATGTTAAAAAAATAGCAGTTTTTGAGAGAACTAAGCGTCCGATTTAAATGATTCAAAGAACTTTCTGCTTGTTTCAACAAAATAATCGCTTTTGGAAAAAAAAATTGTTTCTATTTTTTTTTTAAAAAATATGTTTATTTTGAATTAAAAATTCAAAAAATCACCCAGGCTAAGCACAGTCTAAGCGCCACTCTGGTACAAATGTTTACCCAAGTGCGTTTAGACTGTTTATGTACTGGAGCCCTTTTCCAATTTTGTGAAAACTATTGAAAAATATAAAAATGCCGCCAAGCTAAGCACAGTATAAGTGAAAATGTCACACAGAATTATTTGCAAATGCGTTTAGACTGTGACTACACGGGAGCACTTTTTCAATTTTGTGTAAATTAGGCAACTATTTTTTTTTTTAAATTGAATTCGAAATGTATTGCCGATTGTTAATGTTGTGGATATAAATTGATTTATGATTTACATTTGATTTGCTCAGATATAACAAGATAGCAAAAATAATGAAAGTTACAGTATTTGTAATAATTTAGTTGAAAACGTTTAAAATTTCTTGAATATTTCATTACGGTACGGGAAGTTCCAGCAATTTGCCTTAAGGCACGATGCCATACACCACTAGTTATTGATTAAGTCGTTATTTACACATATCGAGAGGTTCATGTAACTTGCCTCAAGGCAAAATACCAATACCAACTAGTTCAACCCTCCGTCGGTCGGATATTTTTTCACCTTCGAACGGTCGGAAAGGTCTGGCTGGACCACCATTCATTTTACATGCATTTATATGGGATAAATGAGTTTTTGGTGTCTTATATATTAACGATTATTAGTAGTAAATATTTATAGTTTAGATTTTTTCTTTTACGGTAAGTCTTTTGCATGTGTTGAGCTTGCTTATAATAAAAATATTACATATTATATTATATAAAAAAAATTAAGAAATATAAAAAAATCGTTGCTTTTCTTGTTAATTTTTCTGTTTTATATCAATGAAAAACAATATTTATTCTTTTTCGGCGCCTTTGAAATGAATGTGTGCATTACTCATCCGATTTTCAGTGTTTGCGATTACCAATAAGTTTGGTAGGTTTTGAAGGAACTCTCGTCATGAAAATACTAGCATTCATGTTAGAACACATAGCAAAGAATATAAACAACGCAGTTTGAATAGAAAATACCATAAAAAGACAAAATTCTAGTTTACATATATCAAAAAGCGTATGTTTCATACAAAATGTATGGGTGGTCAAGACAGACCTTTCCGACCGTTCGAAGTATAAACACGTTAATATCCTTATATTTATCCTTCTGTACATT